TGGATAAACAAATGTGTTACACTCACACATATAATGTTATTTGGTAATAAAATCAAATGAAATACATATGCTACAACATGGATACTGAAAATATTATGCAAAGTAGAACAAAAAATGATACACTACATATTCCATCTATATGAAATACCCAGAATGGGCAAATTCATAGAGACATAAAATAGTTAAGTGGTTGCCTAGAATGGGAGGGAGGATGGGGAGTGACTGCTAATGAGAAAAAGTTTCTTTTTGGGTGATAAAAATATTCTTTAAAAAAAAAAAATATTTTATTTATTTTTTGAGAGAGAAAGAGAGAACAAGCCGGGGGGAGAGACAGAGGGAGCAGCAGACTCCCTGCTGAGTGGGGAGCTAGGGCTCCATCCCAGGACCCTGGGATCATGACCTGAGCTGAAGGCAGATGCGTACCAACTGAGCCACCCAGGCACCCCTGATAAAAATATTCTTAGATTATGGTGATATTTGAACTGTGAAAATATACTAAAACCCATTGAACTGTATACTTTAAAATAGGTGAATTTTATGGTAAATAAATAAGAAATCTCTCAATAAAGCAGTTTTTAAAAATTTGGGCTTGCTACGTTTATATTCTCATTAAAATTCTAATGAAGTTTATTTTCACTTCCACAAATTTTTCATAAGATGGGATAAAAATATTTATTATAAATAAGGTCCATTACCCCTGGATGGTAAATGGTGATGTCTATTTTCTTGGTATACTGAAGGTTAATCAATCTTCCTAAATGGACATTTAGATTGTTAGTAGTACTTTCCCCCTAGTATAAACAAAGTTGCTTTCAACATTTCTGTTTATACACCTTTACAGAGTTGTAAGAAAAATTCCTAGAAATGAAATTCTAGGTAAAAGGTATTTCTCTAAAAAGGCTGTTCCAATTGATATTTCCAATAGCAATGTTTAAGAGAAAAGCATGTTTTATCCTGAAATATCCTTGCCTTCACAGTTTACTAAAAAAATACATAATAAGGAAAAAACACCTGTTAACAAAACACCAAAAGCAAAAAGCAAAACAAAACACAACGAACAAAAAAGAAAAGCAATAATCATCAAAAACTCTTTCAAATACATTAGGCTATATTACCTGTTCCAATTCTGGCTCTGACAAGAAATGGAAAATTTTATTATATGACATTTCTGAATATAATGCAATTTAGTGTATTTCCAATTCTCTCAGAATAAACATGTCACTTACAAATTATATTTATAGGAAGATTGTAATAAAAATACTTAGCTTTCTTTTAAAAAAATGTATAGCTCTATCTGCCCAGAGGATTTAGGAGCAATAATCCACCGCCAGTAGGAAAGTACCCAATGACTGAATCTTGGTTTCTAAGTAACACTTTCCAATATAAGGAACCAAGTCTCTTTGGAGAAATGGCTGCTTCAAGGGCCAGGGTAGGGAAAATAAAAAATAAGGCTAGGATAACTGCCAAAACTTGGAAGCAACCAAGGTGTCCCTCAGAAGGTGAATGGATAATCGGTGGTACATCCAAATAATGGAATATTGTTCAGAAATGAGCTACCAAGCCATGAAAAGATGTGGTGGAACCTTAAATGCATATTACTAACTGAAAGAAGATTATCTGAAAAGGCTACATACTATAGGATTTCAACTATATGACCTTCTGAAAAAGGCAAAACTCTGGAGAGAGGAAACATATCAGTGTTTGCTAGGGGTTAAGAGGGAGGGAGTGATGAGTAGGAGGAGCACAGAGGATTTTTAGGGCAGTGAAACTATTCTATGTGATACTATCATGACGGATATGTGTCATTATTACTCATTCATCCAAAACTACAGAACGTACATCACCAAAAGTGAACCCTAATATAAACTATGGACTTTGAGTATTAACACGTGTCAGCGTAGGTTCACAGATCATAAAAAATAAGTACATAAAACAAGTAAAGAAATATGGGCTATTTCACACTACCAGAGAATAAGGAAGTACTCAAAAAACAAAATGATAAGGGCATGTCAAAAGGGTACTACAATAGTCAATCTGAATGAGTTCCCAATAGCTAAAACTAAAACAGTTGGAGTAACAAAATATATAACATGGAATTAGAGTATAACCCAACATATAAAATAAATATGAGTCCATCTTGATATAAATGATTACAAAAATAAATAAGGGCGAAGAGACAACAAATCTTCCAAATAGAAGAATTCCAAATACTCTCCCCTCCAGGACATGATGCTTAATTTCATCTTGTGCTTCCTAACCCCTCATTCCCACCTCCAATAAGGGTGGGGTAGACCTAGTGACTTACTTCCAAAGGACGAAGAAAGGGAAAAACAGTACATTTTCAGTGGAGAAAATCAGCAAACACTATCTAATCCAAGTAATAAAGATTAATGTCACCATATGGATATCCCATACCCCTGATGATGGTAAGAGCACTTTACTTCTCGGTATTCTTTTCAAAAACCCATCTGACTCCAAGTTGAAACACGAGAAAAACAACAGACAAATCCAGATTGGGATACATTCTACAAGTCATGAAAAACAAGGAAAGACTGAGAAATTGTTACAGACTAGAAGAGACTGGAGGAAACAAGACAATCAAAAGTAATGTGGGACATTGAATGGGATTCTGCAAGAAGAAAGCAAGCCCTGGTGGAAAACGTGAAATCCAAATAAAGTCTGGAATGTAGTTAACAGTAATAAACTAACAATGGGTTCTTAGTTTTGACAAAATGTACCATGGCAATGTACAATATTTACAGTGGGGGAAACTGGGCAAGAGGTGTACATTAGAAGTCTGCACTGTCTTTGTAACTTTTATATATTTAAAAATTACTCAAAAATAGAAAGTTTATTAAAAACAACAATAACTACCAAATTAAACTTTAAAATGGAGCCATAAAACCACAAAACCAACATAGATATCCTTTTGGAAAATGTTAAACTTCTAAATTTAACTACATTTACTATATTTTGAAAGTCTGTTAAATACAATTAAAGAAAAGGTTGAGGGAAGACTAACAATTTCTTACTGGAGATCAAATCAGGCATTAATCGGAAACATGAGGTACTGCATACTAATAATCCTGGAACTATGCATATTCAACTAGACACATTTGACTGACATGATTAGAAATACTTCAAAAGACATTAAAAAAAATACAGAACCTTATATCCTGCCAACTTAATCTTCTGTCAAGTTTCACTGTATACTGTGTTCTGTGGTTCACTGCACTTTACCAGGAAAGTAGGAACATATTTAATCCACTAGGGGTATTATAATGGCAAACCCTTGGTAAACTTACACCTTTCACATATTATGACACTTCTGAAGGGAAGGTACTTTGCTTCTAACACTCTACATTGCCAGCAGGGTGCCTGGGTTGCTCAGTTAGTTAAGCATCTGCCTTCAGCTCAGGTCACGATCCCAGGGTCCTGGGAGAGAGCCCCACATTGGGCTACCTGCTCAGTGGGGAGCCTGTTTTTCCCTCTTCCTCTGCTGCTCTCCCTGCTTGTGCCCTCTCTCTATCTCTCTGTCAAATAATAAAATAAAATAAAAACTTTATACATTAAAAAATGAATACCAAAAATTTAAGAAAGATTATCTAAAACTTGGATATAAGGCCAGAAGGTAGATAGCGTGCCCTTTCTTTCTTTGACAGACAGAGATCACAAGTAGGCAGAGGCAGGCAGAAAGCAGGGGGCGGGGGTGGGGGGTGGGGAGCAGGCTCCCCGCTGAGCAGAGAGCCCAGTGCAGGGCTGGATCCCAGGACCCTGGGATCATGACCTGAGCTGAAGGCAGAGGCTTTAACCCACTGAGCCACCAGGTGCCCCTAGCGTTCCCTTTCAGTGGAATACTGGGGACACAGATTTGTTCAAAGGTTAATTACTTACGAGAATGTACTTTGCTCCATTATTCTATTGACTACTGAATTAAATATCCCAGATTAAATAAAGTTACATGTTAACTTGAAGATTTCTGTCTAGTAGAGTTACAAATAATTTTTGTCAGGTAGAAGAGAAAATTCCAAAGGTTAAGATTTATTGGTCTGTAGGATATTAACCAGTTTATAACTAACCTCACAATCTAATTCTAAAATTCCTTTATTAAATTGCCTATATGAATACACAGCTCTTCAAATGCTCTCTGAACCAGCCTTACTATTTTCCTTGTTCCCTTAGTAATTTATGAATTGAATAAAATATTTGATACATGTTCACTTCATACTTGTATGAGTCATGATTTTAATTTCTTAAAATTATGCTTTGAAAGGCATAAGGAACTTTCCATGACATGCCTGACATGACCTTTTCCACCCACTGCTCTGCAAATCCTATAGTCTCACAGGGCTATTGCAATAAGTTTTTTGTACAGTATTCTGAAAATATTGTTAATAATCTTGTTATCGGAATTATCTAATACTTTTTATTTCAAAGATAAATCAGAAAAGAATCTAAGTGTATGTTATTTTCAAGGCCATGTGATCTGACGTCTAAGACTTTCTAATTTGTTACATGTCACTCCTGATGGTTCTGTGAGTTAATTTTCCTTATTTAAGCTAATTACTTAAAAAATTTTTTTCTTCCATCTGTTCCGGGTACCTATTTGTTTCTAAATGCAAGAAGCTAATACCTGGTTCAGATGTGAACTACACATAACTGTCTTTACTTTCATAAACATGATTAATTACACTTAAATTTTCATTACATATTTTGAGATTTATGAGAAAAGAAAAAGATTAGCAAAAAGAAAAAAACCACAACTTCATCTTTGCAATGTTACATTTTTCATTAAAATCAAAAGTCTAGACTAATGTGATTTTAGGAAGAAACCTGGTTATTGTCAAGTCTAAATGTACTTTGGTGAATTCAAGTGAACTAATTGTAAACACTGATTTCAATTTGTAGGTTTTGGCACGGTGAAAGAAAGCATTATTTCATTCCCATCCAACCCATAATCAGTAGTCCATTAAAGCAAAAGAGAAAAGAAAATTCTGTACCCTGACATCACTTCTAGGTGAAGTTGTCCCGAAACAGTTAAGAAAGCAGGAACATTGAAGAAATTCTCCTCAGGCACCTTAATTTTGCTTGAAGGCTGCAAATGAAAAACATGAGCCACAAAAAGCTATGAGATATTTTGCTCTGCTTTCACATTCACATACGTGCCACAACTAAAATCACAATGCAATTCAATATATGCGAGGACAGATCATTTTCATGAAAATAAAGGCAGTTCTCAGTACAATCCTAAAAGAGAAAATGCCTACTTAGAAATTGCTAAGGTCAAGGACATTTGCTCCACATTTTCAAAACATAAAACCAAAGGACAAAGTATTTTTGTCACAAGATACAGTTCTCCCTAAAAAGTGATTCTGACTAAGAGACAAACAAAGAAAGAGATTGTGAATTAAAATTTTTAAAGAATTTTTGAAGAAATACAAAATCTCTTAAAATTCTGACCCATGACTGAAATTTGATTTTCTCAAAGGAATAGCCTCTAGAACGTGTTGTCATGTTATTAAATTTTTAATAATAGTATTTTTAATGCAGATTTTTATAAATACATTATAAACTTTTTTTTTAAGATTTTATTTATTCATTTGACAGAGAGAGAGATCACAAGTAGGCAGGGAGGCAGGCAGAGAGAGAGGAGGAAGCAGGCCCTCCACGGAGCAGAGAGCCCGATGCGGGGCTCGATCCCAGGACCCCGGGATCACGACCCAAGCCGAAGGCAGAGGCTTTAAACCACTGAGCCACCCAGGCGCCCCTACATTATAAACTTTTACGTATATTAATTTAACTTCCACCACAATGCAGAAGAGCAGAACTCTATCTTTAAAAGATACAGGGAGCAATTAATTTAAAGATTTTATAAACTTATAATATAGATATGGTGATTATTCTAGTTAAAACAGGTAGGAAACAGGCCAGTCATCATTTATAACAAACTATAAAGTTATCTGGGGGTCAAATGCACTTATTTTACTTTTTTAAAAAGATTGCTTATTTATTTATTTGACACAGAGAGAGAGCACAAGCAGGGGGAGGAGCAGAGGGAGAAGGATCAATACCCAAGTCAAAGGCAGACGCTTAACAGACTGAGCCACCCAGAAACACAATTGAAATAGACAACTAAAAAAGCTTCTGGATCCAAGTATGGCTATTATACTCACTTTTTTGGATGAAAGTTAATTTCTCTTAGTCTTATATTTCAGATTGTGCATTTATTTTAAAGTGCTTTAGTGTAATGGTACTGTTACTATAAAAGCAATAAGGCCAATTTTAGGGGCGCCTGGGTGGCTCAGTGGGTTAAAGCCTCTGCCTTCAACTCAGGTCATGATCCCAAGGTCCTGGGATGGAGCTCCGTATCAGGCTCTCTGCTCAGCAGGGAGCCTGCTTTGTCCCCTCTCTCTGCCTGCTTCTCTGCCTACTTGTGATCTCCATCTGTCAAATAAATAAATAAAATCTTTGGGGCACCCGAGTGGCTCAGTGGGTTAAAGCCTCTGCCTTCAGCTCAGGTCATGATCCCAGAGTCCTGGGATGGAGCCCCGCATTGGGCTCTCTGCTCAGCAGGGAGCCTGCTTCCCTTCCTCTCTCTCTGCATGCCTCTCTGCCTACTTGTGATCTCTGTCAGATAAATACATAAAATCTTTAAAAAATAAGCTATAAAGCCAATTTTAAATACACACAATAGAGAATGTGAGACTCCTTTAAGAGACTTAGTATCAAATACTGAATTACAGAAACACATGAAGACATCTTATTTAATTCCATTGGTTCTAAAAATATTGCCTATCAGATACAGGCATATATGTGTATGAATGAGAAATCTAGTGTAAAAATTACCAATTGAAATCATTCATTTATTTTGTAATTGCCTTTTATTTTTCAAACTTACTTTGATACTGGTCCTAAATGTCCTATCACTGCTTTTTAAAAATCTATCTTGGAATCCCATATTCACCGAAGGGATATTTCTTCTAAGGACTCAAGTACATAAGACTAAAATATTTGCCCTGACCTGTGCTTGGATTTCCAAAATAAAAAAGTATGTTTTCTGTAGTTCCTCACTACTTAATAAATAATTATGTTTCAAATAAGGCCCAGCACATTTATAAGAATATTATTATTTTCTCCTTTCCTTTACCTCTTTAGTCTATAATTTGTATTTGTGTTCTATCTTGACTTCTCCTAAAGTGATTTCTCTCATTTCCTGTGCATATAAAAGTCTAGTCTTTATGACTACCTTTTAGTCTTTCATTTATTAGCATTTGTACAAAATAGAATCTGATCCTCTTACATCTCTTAAACGCAACTTATTTAAATAGGTATAAACATATCGCTACTTCATCATGCCATCCAATGTCATACATACTTACATACTGAAATTCCTACTACAGTTTTAAAAATTACTTCTTATTTCTCCTTTACATTACAACTTATGCATTACATTGATTTTTAAAACTTCTGAATTAAGTTATACTACCTATATATTTTACTTCAGGATATTAAAGGGACATTATGAAATATTTTAAAAAGCAATTGCTGAGAGTGGTGTAGATAAACATGGTGGGATAGATTGCTCTGAAGGGCTGTCCCTCCACGGAAAAACTGAAAATAATGAGTAAAAACTGTTAGAATCAACTGTGGGGACTCTGGAAAACAGTTAAAGGTTTCTAAGAACCAAATGCTGAATTGAGAGAGGAAATTTAAAAATTTTAGACTTCACCAACAACAGCAGATGGCATATTGTCTCAAGAACACATGCAATATTGTTCAGGACAGACCATATGCTAGGACATAAAACAAGCCTCAATAAATTAAAAAAGATTGAAATCATACAAGTCCTTTTCTTTGACTGCAATGGAATGAAACTAAAAATGTTAGGTGGTGCAGGTGCTTAGGAAAACAGTTTCATGTTTCCTTAAAAAAGATAAACAAAGAATTACTATATAACCTACCAATTCTATTCCTAGGTATATACTTCAAAGAATTAAAGCCAGGTACTCAAATACATATATATATACGTTCATGTTCATAAGAGCACTATTCACAATAGCCAAGATGAAAACAATTCAAATGTCATTAACAGAAAAATAAACAAAATGTAATATATATAAACAATGGAATAATATTCAGCCATAAGATGGAATGAAGTACTTATATACACATTAAAATAAGACTAAATCTTGGACATGTTATGCTGAGTAAAAGTGAGACATAAAAGGCCACATATTGTATGTTCCCATTTGTATGAAATGTCTGAAAGAGGTAAATCTATAGAGGCTGACTAGGTGAGAGCCATGGGTCTGGAGGGAATAGGAGATATGGGGATGGGGCATGAGGTTTGTTTTTGGGATAATGAAAATGTTTTAGAACTTGATACAGGTGGTAGTTGTATAACATGATAAATGCACTAAATGCCACAAAATGTACCCTTCAAAATAATTAATAAGAATTTCACCTCAATTTTTTAAAAAGTATATATAAATAAGTAACTATTGGATTTGACAGGGTAAAAAACTAACAAGGCGGGGGGGGGCCTGGGTGGCTCAGTGCCTTTGCTCAGGTCATGATCTCAGGGTCCTGTGATTGAGTCCCACATCAGGCTCTCTGCTTGGTGGGGGGCCTGATTCCTCCTCTCTCTGCCTGCCTCTCTGCCTACTTGTGATCTCTCTCTGTCAAATAAATAAATAAAATCTTAAAAAAAAAAACTAACATAGGATTGCAAATTTAAGATCTGTAATCTTAAATACTTCTTAGTAATGAAGAAAGAATAAAAAAATACCGATTATGCATCCAATTTTATGACCTTGCCAGTGCATAGGATTTCTTTAACTAGATTCCCACAATGCAAGTAATAAATGACAAATTTATGACAAATTTATGAAAAATGGACAAATTTGACATTAAACTTAAGGATCTCTATTTAACAAAGGAAGATACAGGCAAAGTCAGAAGAATGACAGATTAAGAAGAAAATATTTTCAGTGCGCCTGGGTGGCTCAGTCAGGAGATAATGCGAATCTTCTTCTTGGGGTTTAGAGTTTGAGCCCAATTTTGGGTGGAGAGATTATTAAAAAATAAAGTCTTTAAAAAAAAAAAAAGAATAATATATTTTCAGCACCTAAAATTGACAAGTGATTAATGGACAGGACCTATAAGGACCTGTCGACAAGAAAACAAGAAAGAAAAAAAGCTGCTCCCCAACTGGACAAGGGATATGAAAAGAGATTTTTACAAAAAAAGGAAAATTTGCATGGCTAAGATATATGAGAAAACACTCAAATTCACTACAAACAAAAGAAATGCAAATGAAAATAAGGCATTTTAAGAAGAATTCATTACATATACCAGATTGACAAAGATTACAAAGTTATTTAAGGTCAAGTGTAGGTACAGATTCAGGGTATGGTAGACAGATATCTAAGATGTGCCCAAGAGTCTCAGCCCCTGATTTAGTCAATTAACCACTAAGCCAGGAACGGCCATGAAGGATTTTGCAACTAAAGCTCCAAATCAGTGAGCACCGGCAGTACTCTCTCTGATATCAGCCGTAGTAACATTTTTCTACATATGTTTCCTAAGGCAAAGGAAATAAGCAAAAATAAACTATTGGGACTATATCAAAATAAAAAGGTTCTGATCAATGAAGGAAACACAAAACTAAAAGGCAACCTACTGAAAGGGAGAAGATATCTGCAAATGATGTAGCCAAAAAAGGGTTAGTATCCAAAGTATATAAAGGACTTACATTAACCTAACACCCAAAAAATGAATAAGCTAATTAAAAAATGGGCAGAAGACACAAATAGACATTTCTCCAAAGAAGACATTCAGATGTCCAACAGACACATGAAGAGATGCTCAACATCACTCATCAAGGAAATGCAAATCAAAAGTACAATGAGATATCAACTCACACCTGTCAGAATGGCTAAAATCAAAAACACAAGAAACAACAGGTGCTGGTGAAGATGTGGAGAAAAAGGAAACTCTCTCTTGGAAATGCGAACTGGAATAGCCACTGTGGAAAACAGTATGGAGGTTCCTCAAAAAATTAAAAATAGAACTACTCTATGATGCAGTAATTGG